GCCGTCCCCTTCTTCTTTTTCCTTCCATCTTTCGCAGCAACAGGGTCTTTTCCAAAGAGTCCTCTCTTTGCATTAGGTGACCAAAGTATCTGGGCTTGAGCTTCATTATCAAATTAACTAAGGTATCTTCCTACATTCAGTAGATTTTATTGTTTAAATCTCTTGCCTTCTATATTTGCATTAAACCTTTTATGTCATGGCAGTTGCATTAAACCTTTATGTTGTAGCTGGCCAAAGGGAAATGGTGATAGGAAGTATTCTTCAAGATCTCCTAGACTGATCTTTTCTTGCCAGGCATAGGGCTGACAGGAAAGGACATTTTCTGGGAGAAAGTTATCAAATGGTATTCTTTACAAAATGTGATTTTCCGAACATAAAACTGGGCACCTGGTTAAGCACTCTTCAGTGAGAAGACAAAAAGTAACAGATATGCTTCTCTGAAAGAGAGTTTGCTCACTGCAGTATGAGTATATCTTTTATCACATATTTTTACAGACAGTAAGACTTTTCTATCTGTAACTGCTGTTTGCTTGAAAATTCATGGAGATGCAGATCTCCATGGGGATTCCAGTGTTGCTCAGATACCTGTGAATATTTTTGGTGGTTCTGTGAGAAAGTGGAAATATCTATAGAAGCTTTGCACGTCCTAATTTGCAGGATATATGTGTATATTATTAATTCTTGGTCTTGTTTTCATAATATGCTTAACCCATAATCAACCACTATTACTATAAAACCTGTTGGTGGTTCTGGCCTCATGTAATCAAACTTGTCAAAAATCAGTATTTGGGGAATACAGAAGTCCCACCAACCGTCTCTAAAAAGTACCTAATATCCCATGAGCCTTTTCAACAGGACAGTTCTGGAAAGTTTCCATCACATTGCAACCCCTTTCCCATTGGTTAGAAAGACAGCAGTGGGTGTTGCTTGGACATCGCAACTAATTAGTGTTTGGAAAGTATGTTCTGTGCTGCCCGAATATAAAAAGCATGCACAGTATCATGGAATTCTAGCTGACTGCTGGAGGAACAGAGTAGGTTCTTCCCTTAGACCAGTGTTTCTCAACTTGAAGGCTGGCTGGGGAATTCTGGGAGTTGAAGCCCACACATCTTCAAGCTGACAAGGTTAAGAAACACTGCATTAGACAGCGAAGTGGTTGTTCCAGGCAGCAGATTTTTAACATTACATATCTTATAAAGGCAGAAAACAGCCAATCGTTGTTGTTGTTATAGAAAAGTGGGATTTTGTTCTTTGTATGTAAAAAAATAATCAGCTAAATGTTAGATACTCTGCACCTTCCCTTGCATGGGTGTGGAGCACCATTTGCTGCTTTCTCTTATGACATAAGATGTCTTGGATCACCTCTGTGAAGGGGAAAGCTGGAAAATCAGGGAAAGGGGGATGCTGGCACGTGGATGACAAGGAATCATGTGATGGAGTTGACTAAGGATTTATTTATTCTGACAGCCTTAACAATATCAAAGCAGAGGTAACCCAAAATGCAGACTTAATTAGAGGACTACACAGGTGTTGCTTAGCAGCCAGCTAAAGCCAAGGACATATAAATTGTTTTGTATATATTGTATTGTAGGCTGCATATTGCTCTCAAGCCTTTCCTGATCTAATCTGCTCAGAATGTTATTTGAAAAATACAGCTGCTTTATTTAGACAATTTTACTAACAGGGGAATGGAATAGAGCTACCCGAAACCTAGGGAGGAATTCCCCATACTGCAATATTTTATTGTGGGTTTCACTTGGAGAGATTTAAATTCAAAGTTATATTAATTATTAGGGATATGGAGTAGTTTGGATTTGATTTCAAAACATTACTTTTGAACATGCAAAGGTGCAAGCATAGCATCTTCTGCAACTCTTTCAGTCGACCATATCTTTTCCTAATCATTTTTGTTTCCTATAAAATTAATGCATGTTCCACAAACAAGAATCTGCATCTTCCATTTTGCAACATATTTCAGCAAATTATCTGCTAGACAAGAAATTCTATATGAGAAATTCACGTACCTCATCTTTAGCACAACTAAATATATTGGCCACTCACCCATTCAGATATCCTTACTGGTCATTCCAGTAACATATGATCACATGTCTTGGTCAAAAGAACCATTTGGGAAATATGAAATCCACCCCCGCTCCACTTTTTCTAGGAAATCCCTGGTGCCACGTGAAGCTATACTCTTTACTAGCAGAACTTCATTAATCACTAACCCCTTCTCATTAACCAGGCAGGCAGATATAGTCACACCCTGATTATTATTGCTGCCATTTGGGAAGCATGTTCTTTCCACCAAGGCTTGGCAAGAAAACCTCTCTTTCTTTCCATCTCCGTTTTTGGGGGACTGAGTCTGCAAAATGAGTCAGTTGATTGACTTTAGGTATTTTCACTACAAGGTTCATTGGGTAGAGTTAGGTTAATTCAATACTTCACTATAATCTGTCTGGGACTATAGGTAGTCTTTGGTTAACAACAGTAACTGGGACTGGGAACTCCATTGCTTAGCGATGCAGTCGTAAAGTGCATATCATATGACCACACTGACTTATGATGGCAGTTCCGGCAGTTCCAGTTGTAGTTATTAGGTGAATCCTGTGTGATCATTAGGCATGATGTCACATGATTACCATCTGCAACCTCCTGGTGGCTTTCCCACTGACTTTGCTTGTTAGACATTGGCAGTGAAGGTTGCAAATGACGACCACGTGACTGTGTGATGCAGTGATCATCATAGTTGCGAGCTGGTTGCCATGTGCCTGAATCATGGTCACATGACCTTGGGGACACTGTGATGGCTGCAACTTTGAGGACTGGCTGAAAATCTCCTCATTCAGTGCCACTGTAACTTTGAATGGTTGCTGAATGTAAACTTCATGGACATTAGTTGTGTGGGCCAGTTAACTCCTTTAGTGCTTCTACCAACATGTTATCCCCCCACATCCTGACTTAGTTAAGCATGTGAGAGAAACAGAAGCACCAAGAGCTTAAAGTACTGAAAGGGCAATTACTTTTTAAACATTTAAAAAAAATTTTTTAAAAAAAAAACCTTGGACAGATATGATTTTAACCTATCCCAAAAATACAGGAGTGATATTGAGTATACTTCCTTTGAAATGGCATTCCAAATACAATCATGAGAAGGACCAGCTAAAAAATGGATTGTTCTCACCAACAAAACAGAGAAAGGCTTCCTCAGGTCATCTCAACGCATGAGAGGAAAGGAGCAACTTCAGACATTTGGGCCCTTAATCACTTTTAAGGGCAAATCAGCATCTTGGACTGGGCTCAATTAGTAACCAATGTTGCTTTTTTCAGAAGTAATATAAATAGAAAAACTAACCAGGATTCAAGTAGCTGAATATTGTACTAGTCAGGGGTGTTATCAAAACTATGGAGCAAATTTCTCCAAACTTCATCATGTTAGCCCTTCAGAATGAGAAGTATTGAAATATTTAATAATCAGGTATCTTAAAAACAACTGTATTATTATTTCAACAAACAAAAAACCCTGCAGGGAATTGTAACAATGGCATTCAGAAAGGGGGTCTCAAATTTTGTGATGCCATGAATCACTAAAATTTCAAATAAGACTGACTTTTCTCATCACCTTGAGATCACAAATTAACAGTTTAACTCAAGTTAAATTGAAACCCCTGAGATGCATTGCTTTGGAATATAAGCCAGCTGTTCCACCAGAGCAGAGGAAAAAAAATAAGTTTTTGGCTTAGCAACAATTTTACAACCAGTTTTCATGAACCGGGCTGAACCATGTAGATATCTCCATGGGAACAATTTGATGTTGTGTTATCTATTAATATAGACAGGACTTCAAAGCAGAATTTGCAATCTTGCCTTATAAATTTTCTTCTTAATGTTTATTCCTTTGGAGAAACTACAGATTTTACAAACTTGCAAATGTTAAGCCACTGGAAGTAGACCAATAAATGAATATAGCACATAACAGAGCATATGATGGAGTTGCTCAGAAGAGGTGATTTGCAGGAAGTCACAAATTCGTGCCCTAGCATTCCTATGTAGGATTGGAGGAAAAAACCTTGGAGAAATATTACCAATTTGTGCTGACGATGCTGAGCCAGATAGACCAATAGTTTGACTCACTATAAAGCAGCATCCTATGTTCTTCCAATAGTTCTGTTACATAAATATAAAACATATCATAATGTAATGACACACTGTTCTCCTAGCCCATTTATTGTTTCTGTCATGGTCACTTACTTTTGAGATCTAAGTTTCTTGCTCCTGCCGTGCTCTGCGTTGTGATTTTTGTGTCAATTTTTACTGTATGGAGATTATTGGTATCCCGTGATATCATCACATTGTGCCACTGGTTGTCATTCAGAGGTTTATTGGAACTGCCCTTGATAAGATTTGCACCATTTCCCAAATCAAACACATAGTGTAAATACCTGTAAACAAAAAGGAAAAACAGCTAAACTGAGTAGGTGGTTGAAAATTGCAGCTCTTCACTCCTTCTTTTCTTTATTTAAACTCTTTGCAAATTCAGAAAGTTCTTAATCAACTGCTCTTTCATTTAAAAAGGCTGACTCATGTGATCAAAATTTGGGTACTTGGCAACCAGAATATATTTACAATGGTTGCAGTGTCCCAGGGTCACATGATTGCCATTTGCAACCTTCCGAAGGGACTTCTGACAAGCAAAGTCAATGGGGGAAGCCAGATTCACTTAGTGACTCTGTGATTTGCTTAACAACCACAGTGATTCACTTAATGACCACTGCAAAAAAGGTCGTAAAATAAGGCATGACTCACTTAACCACATTGCTTAGTGATGGAAGTTCTGGTCCCAACTGTGGTCGTAAGTTGAGGACAATCTGTAGTTTTGTCCAAAAGCCTCAATATATAAACTGGCACTATATTTCAAAAAGGACATTTGAAAAAAAATCCTGAATATAGTGCAATACAAACTCTACTGCTTTATCCAAACTATTAAATTGTTGTAGATTTCCGCAGTGAAGGTTTTGTATTTCTCAAAAGAAGCTTTGATTTCTTGATTAAAATTACAACCCATTTCAAAGAATGATAACTCCCTCAGAAGATATGTAGCTACTATATATTTAAATATTTACAGTAAATATGCCTGGTCAGTTTTCAAATAAGTAACTTCTCTCTTGGCAGAGAAGATGTTGGACCTCCTAGACTTTGTCAACTGTCTTCCTCATAGCATTTCCTCACATACATTCTTTTATTATAAGATAAATACTCAAGACAGAAGATCTGGTCCTGGGGCTCTAGTATTTAGGCAAAGCCCACCAGCAATTATGTCAGTCTGGGGCTTCCAGCCATAGGTTTACCTACCAACAGAACCAATGGGATGATGTTAATCATGATTATTATTTCACAGAATAAACCCATATTATTATTCCAGTGCAGAATGGCCACGAACCATTCTGGTTTCCCACGATGCCCTTGAGTAACAGTTGGAAAAACAGGACGGTCACTTTCTGCTGCCATTGACAAGTAAGCCCCCAGCTGGGGAACTAGTGATATAATAGGAGGATCACAAGAACATATTTTGCATGCTTTTTTCCATAGAAAAGCAAGATAAAAATATTTCACATAAATGACAAAATAAATGGTGTAGGATTAAAATGTGTAAAATAAATGAATACATGTTGCTGGAGGCTCCCTTCACATGCAGAGCTAGCTTTATTAAAGCATTTTATTTCTAGTCAAGAATAGTGAGAAGCCAGATTAATTTCCACAGAATGTGGCTGTAACCAAAACAATACTAGTTCTACCTGGGGAAGGCTCCACTTTGACAAGCAGGTATATTTTGTCAAAGTTCCACTTACAGTTAAAGATTGACCCTCATCCTATATTTTCCTTTTATAGCATAAAACATGATCCTCCTTGTGGAGAATGCATTTCTATTCTCTGTTTATTTAAATACATCAATAATATTTAACCCTCCTTAAATGTTGTCTCAGTGCTGTTTTAATCCCCACTGAGGCAGCTGCATTCAACACCTATTACCCTGAGCCTCTGCAGGAACAAACAGCTTTAGAAAATGTACTGGCATACATAGGAGGTCTTGATCGCCACTCTTTTGGCCAAATGTTTACATTGGAAAAAAAATGGACTGAGACTGCAGGATGAGAAACACCATCCAAATATGTATTTCTTAGAAGGGTAGACACTGCTCAGCTTTAAGGACACAGGAACTCACACTGCTGCATCAGAACAAGGGTTAGTAGAGTCCAAGATCTTGCCTAAAAACATGAAAGTTCATTAAGCTTTCTGCGCTTATAGCATCTGTGCTATAGATTGCATACACACCCTTTTACTAATTCAACCACGATAAAGTCATTGCCATCTCCACTGTTGTAGAGTATTAACCCATCCAATGATGTTGTTTTGAACTGGAAAAACAGGTGCATAGATGTATATGCTTGCAATGTGGCAAGAGCAACATAGCTGGCTTTTGTCTTAAAGGTGACTGGGTCAGCAATGATGTTCCGGAAGCCAAAACGGGCATTTAGTTCACAGTAATCAATGTCCCCATTTTTACACAAGTCAATGTATGCCATGCCATTAAAAGTGAGGCTTTGCAGATGACCAATGAAGTTGGAAGGGACTGAGGACAAGTAACGCCGTTCCGTTATGATTCCCGTCTCTATATTATGGAATTCCAGTCTTGTATGATCCCCAGCCATTTGACCTTTAAATAAAAAGCAAGTTTGAGAAGTTAATGTCATAAACAAAAAGCTAGGGGCATTTCAAATGCTGAAGTCTCTCACACAACCATGGTCTACTGTAACTATATGATTCTACCACGTGTTTTCATGTAGAAAGCAAATATGCTGAAAGTGCCCCATTTGTTTATTACTTTTCTCTTATTATATCCAACCCAGTCAAGTTATTTAAGAATAACTCACTGTGTAATTTACAAATGAAATGAGTCAAGCATCAAACTGATCCTAATTTAAGACAATCAAAATAACAACAGCAACATAATAGAAAACTATAAAATGAACCAAAGGGGTGGGGGAATCTCATGATACAGTAAAACAGAAGAACATCTTTGTGAGTGCTCTATTTGAACATTCAGATATACAGTTTAAGATGTGTCAACATGTACTTCTAGGAACTCTGCTAATTACAAAGTACAAAAACGATACATAGGTCTAAGATTCTTCCATTTCTTCAAGTGGAATAATTTGTGTCTATCTTTGTCAAGGATATGGAGGAAAGTGCCTTTTATTGAACATTATTTTCATTTACATTCATTTACATTATATACATTTTGTATGTATAGAAAATATATATTCTGAAATGATCCACTTTCCAGTATCACTTATCTGGGCTCCACTGATATATGTTGATCCAATGACCTAGACAAACCATGTTGACACACAGAGACTACATATGGGTTGAAAGTTACTATAGCATCAAGAAACAAGAGGGAAGAATGCAATCAATTTGTATTACCACATCAGACACTGTTTTAACCCAAATGAGCAAGATGTGGTCTGGGAAAAACAGCAACAACAACCCTGAATTGTCTGCTCCTTTCATTTGGACAGTTCTCAAACTTTATGAGGAAAAAGGTGCATAAAAGGCTATGCAGATATTCTATCACTGGGACCTTTTTAGTAAGGCTTGGCTTACTGAACTTACTAAACTGTCCTCAACCTAGCCTCTCTTTTTGCACACTGTAAAAGTTGGGGACAGTTGAATGATTTGAAAGGAGGTAAAATCACAGCAACGCTAGAGAAACACAGTCTTTGCTCTCATTGGGTTTCTCCCCACCACTTCCCACTTAGATCAATTAACTGATTTGATGATGTAGCAGAGAAAAGTAAATGGATATACAGTATGTTGGAATGGGGAGAAAAGTATCACATAATTTTTGACTGAACTCCAATTCTTATCCAGGATTGCAGTCACAGATTTGATTTATTATTTCAAACTAATGTGGGAACTTTGACTGTCCTCAACTTTATATCTATTGGCCATGTAGATCAATTTTTGCTCCTAATTCTATCCTCCTTCTCCTTGCCTCATTCTGTCAGAACTTTCCACTCCCATTACCTTTTTCTTTAGGATTTTTTTTAAAAAATCTGTCCTTTCTTGGATTTTCTGCCTATATTCATAAAACGCTTTGGGATCAGAGTGCAGATCCTTAGAGCTAGTCTATGACAAGTAAGGGGAATTGAAATTATTTTCACCACCGCGACTATCATCACTAAATACATATGGAATGGAAGATCTAGCAAATAGTTATTAGTCATTATTACCTGTCATGGCTTGTTGATCATCTACCATTAACTTTAAACTTTTTCCTCTTCGAACTACACGTACTGTGTGCCATTCATTGTCATTGAGGTTATATCCAGCAAAAAGAGTCTCTGGACCTTTGCCTGTAGGGTATGCCAAACAGTTTATTATGGTATCTTTACATCATTCAATATGTGAACCTCAGAGAGAGAGAGAGAAAGAGAGAGAGAGAAAGATAGGGGGACAAAGAGAGAAGGAAAGAAGCACAACAAGAAACAAAACCAAAAGAGAGACATTGGCTGGAGCAAAGGAAGGTGTGTATGTATGTATGTGTGTACACACACACACACACACACACACACACTGTATACACAGTACATCTTTAAAAGATTGAAGTTATCAAAGAATAGGTAGACTTTAAAAGGCAGGC